TATGACTACAAAAATCAAAAATCAAAAATCAAAAATCAAAATAATTGCAGCTGAGATTTGTCTACAGCCATAGACGTGTGCTTTTGGTTTGTCCCACATCGAATTCACACTGGAAAATCACTGGAAATTGATTCTATAAACGGGTGGGCCACTGGAGGCTCACAACTTTTAGGACCCTTTACATCGAAAGGCTGAAAGTTGAAAAATTTAGGGGGTGTTCTCTTTGTATTTGAGTTTTAAATTCATTTTGAGTTTTGTGTTTTTGAGTGTTTGTTTTGAAATTGTTGAAAATGCGTTCTTTTTGTTAGTTTCTCAAAACAAAAAAAATGGAATTTTTTTTTTGAAATTTTGAGAATCACCACAAGATCACCTCCAAAAAAAAAAAAAAAAAAAATTACACTAAAAATGTGTAATTGTCGGTCCTGACGGAAGGTTTCTGTCATTACTGACAGTTGGTTGCAAACTTGACTACAAATAAAATGCAAAAGGATATGCTATTGTACAACATTCTGTACAGATGTTGCCGTATGAATCCATGACAAAACTACAATAAATAATTATAGCCGATGACGTACGCAAATTTTGTCCATATCAATGGTCGTCGAATTCTTAGAGATACATAAGCACAAATATATGCAACCACCAAAGTATGTTTATAATCAAATTCTTGGAGAATTGTCCTTACTATGATCATTTTATATACAACTATCATATAGTGTTTATCATAGTATTAACAAATTTCCTGGGACATTAATACTTGATTTCTTTCTCCTCCCCTTAATCTATGGAGCCCTGGTAGATGCTGTAGGAAAACAAACGCGCGTCGATTGCAACCTCTTTGTGTTAACTACATTGTCTTCTTCAATGTGTATGGTGGCTACTACAGTATGTCAGGGACATTGCCTACGCAAAAGTAGTATGACCAAATTACTTATCTAAAACGTCAAATAATAACATAACATAGCCTACCAACATCTAATTATTTGCTCGACTACCTAAAATCAATATTACGAATCCTTCTTTAGGAACTTACCTTCAGATTGGACCATAGCGTTAGAAGAGGGAAGTGTATTTTCCTCTATGGCGTCATCCAAAATTGTTGTATCATTTATATTTAAGTCATGAGAAGACATTTAACATTAGTTTTTAACTTAACATGCTTATAATATATAATTAGAATTTAACTTAATATAATTTCTTCGATATAAAACTTACCGTTCGCCTCCATCATGTCACAACCCAAGGGAACTTCTTCTTTGTCCGGGCATGACACTTAGGGCCCTATGCCTTATTCATCTAGTTGAAAACAATATTTGAAATAGTAATGTACATGTCATCGAATCTAGTTTGTAGACTAGGGAATAAGATGAGAGTATTAAAATTTCGAATTCCTCATAATCAGCATACATACCATTTTCCTCCTTGTTTCCCCTAGGCAATGGACCCTCCTAGTCATTCGAGGCACACACCTTCCAACTCTATACCTCTTTCATTTTCAGAAAAGAGGAATTTAAAATTCATTTGCAAAAATATAGAAAAAATGTCATATCATAATAATCGATACATGTTAATGCGACACACATGTAAGAAATCGAAATCACACACGTGCAATGTTCGGATGAGCCAAAGTTGGACATATAGACAGATGACTACCAAACTGATTTGTTGAGAAGTTGTCATATGTTGAGAAATACCACCTTTAACTGTCGAGAATGATAGTTCATCTGTCAAGGGCAACAATTCATATCGACAAATGATTCAACTCATCTGTTGTATTTAGTTATCTGTCGAGAATAACTGAAACAAACTATTAAGAACGACAGTTCATCGCAAGAGATAGGTCATATTACTAATCTGTGGAGTAGTCATCGATCGAAAATTCATAACTGTCGAGACTTTCATTTTATCAAATTAAACAGTTTACTTAAAATATTATAACATAGAGGACAATACGATAAGATATCTCAGGTGTATATAAATTGTAAAATCAACACTCCTAGGTGCAAGATAAGGAAATGACAAACTAAACCGTCCAGGTATGTACCTTTCGGGTCGATACCTTGATACGTAACGACACTTTTCTTAAAAATGAAAGTAGTTATAAGAAATAAATTCATAGATAACTTATATAAATATTAATGTTACATTTTTCATAAATAGAAAAGTAGACAATAAAAATCGAAAAAAATGGGGCATATTGTATCAATCTAGGGCAAAAAATGCAAACAATAAAAAAACAAATACAAATGTGAAGAATCAGAAGAGAAGAGAGCAAAAAATGCAAAAAGAAAGAAAAAACAAACATCAAGAGATTAATGATAGTCTTCGTTCGCGGTGGGCTAATTAATAGGTCGTCAACGTCATGGGCATTTGATGATTCAAATAAGAGAGAAGGGAGTGAACTTAGGGTTAGTGAGTGTTTGAATGATAAATTGAGTTGTATTTTGTTTTTGTTTCACTTTTTTTTTTATTTGAAAGTTGAGTTATTTGATGTGACATTTTTTAGTTTTTGTACAATTTTTCATAGAATCAAATCCCATTTAATGAAGGACATGTAGGGTGATTAAATTATTTAGAGGGGCAAAAATGTTCAAAATTAACAATCTTATAAAGACTTTAAGAAAAAAATGATATTTTTGAAAATGCAAAGTCAACCAAAAATTGACATATAGCACAATTTCCTCTAAAATATGAGCTATCGTGACTTGTGGGTAAAGCAAATGATGTAGTATCGAGTACAAGTAACACTTTGCACCAAACATCACATGCACTTTCAAGCATGTTGTACGAGGCTAAAAGCTACATGAACAATTTACTCTTGAAAAAAAAATACTAATACGTACATGCACTGTTACCAATGTCGACCATTATTGATCATTGTTTCAAACCTTGTCATCTCACAGTTTAACTCTCAAGCTTTAATGTTTCGGTCTTATTTGAGCCTTTTTTCACAAGTTTGCCTTCGAATGGCCTTCAAATTATATATATATATATAAACGACAACTTTACTATCAAGTTATACATATATAGGAAGTGTTTGATAGACATTCTTATGTAAAAATGCATTTTAGAAAGCAGTAAATTGATGTGAAATGTATGATTGAAATAAGGAAAAGTTTTAATTGACGTGTAATATTATTTTAATAAATAATGTGTGGTTGAAAATAAGAGAAGGAAAAATGCATTTTGAAAAACATGGCTATCAAACGGGCCATAATAAGAAAAATGGATTGTGAATTGTGCATGGATGTGGCATAAATTTATCGCTTTTGTAATCCTTATATGGTTTTGGCCTATACAATAAATTGAAGCAAGGAGTGTATACAGACAAGAAAAGCTTCCTACACGAAAAGGACTTCAAGTGGCAAAACCAATGTAATTGGTGCATCTCTAATATTTCAACTTGACTGGGTAAATTGTTGTGGACTTGTTTATCAAGATTTTTTGTTGATTACGTGGCGAAATCAACCCAACTTTTCCTGTGAATCTATTATAAGAAGTGAGTCTTGCAAAATGAACGTAGGGTTACTGCTTGTGACCTTTGAAAAGGATGGACTACAGTGACAGAAGACTTTCTGTTGCTTGATGCTTAAGTCAATAAAGCGTCAATCAATCAAAGTAAATAGAAAGAAAGGGTTTGATAGTAACTTATTGAAGGTTTGCTTGACATAGATAATTTTTTAAAGGGTTTTGTTTGATGAACATCGAGGAGTTTCTTCACAAAAGAAGTATTTTTTGGCAATTTTTTTCAAGGTGGGCCCCATATTATGAGAATATTCTGACAATTTTCTGTGAAACTTTTTTCTCTAAAAATGGATTAATCCTTTTTTGAAAAATTAATTTGCAAACACATATCATAACTTTTTTCCACTTTTAACTATATATTTTCATTTTTTTTCCCACATGAAAACAATGTACCGAACAAGTTTTATTGTCACAAGTTTTGAAGTATTTATGAAAACTTGGGATTAACGTCGCTTTAAGGCCTCGTTTAGTATCCATTTTTTTCAAAATGTATTTTTCTCTCTCTTCTTTTCAATCACATATTTTTCATTAAAATAATATTACGCGTAAATAAAAAAAATTTCTTTATTTTTTAATCACACATTTTTCATCAATTTAATATTTCAAAATATATTTTTATGGCTACCAAGTACCATCTAAAGATTCATATCTATCTACACGTACAAAAGAGCCTAAAGAAAAAGCAGGACGCGTGTCGACCGGGCCTATCGTCTATGCCTTTTCTTTTGCCTTCTATTGGAAACGACGTCGTATGGTTCCTTTTGTTTTGTTCCCCTGTGTTCGCCCGTGCATGGAAGAAACCTATTTCTTTATTTCCGTTCCATTTGCTTCGCTCGTCAGAGGAAATTCGAGAGTTTTCCCGACTTCGAACGAGGTAGTCTCACGCAAATCATTTACTTTTAGTTTTAATCTACAAAAGGAAGGATATTGGCTCAAAGGGTCTGGGAAGAGTGGATTTGGGAAGTTCTATTTCTATTCACGCTTCTTATAAGTATATTCAGTTTTAAAAATAAAATTTTAATATATTTTAAATCCTATATAACTTTACTTAAATAAACATAAACAGAATTAAATAAAAATATATAACTCTAAATTGATCCACAAATTTTTATTTCTATTAACTTATTCTAAATTTTTTTTTATTCTTTTAGAATTTATGTTTAATTAGAATCTTAATAGATTAGAAAAAATTACATGAATATAATTATAGGTGCCTTTGATAAATTGAGTTTTATGAATAAGAATGATAAAATTTCTAATAAACATTATTAACATGATTAGCTGAATAATATATGTTCATTTAATGTTCAATAAGTTCAACTTTGTTATTATTTCATTCATTTGGTTTAGAAGAGTTTATAGTTTTAAGGATTGTGTGAATTTATAATGTTAGGGATGTATTTAAAATGTGATGAATATATAAAATTTACGTAGATATATAATATTTAAATGAATGGATTTAATAAGGACAAGTTTAAAAATAATGTGGATGTAAATAGTATTTTTTAAAAATTTTAAAATTTTATTAGGGATAATTTAGAGGGGGGATTTACTTGGAAAAATCGTTGATGGAAATAACTGTACCCATGGATTTTCCTATGAGACAACAAGGGTTCTCCAAATCGATTCTTTTTCCTACATGATTTCTGATTTTTTGTTGAGTATTTCTTTGTTGTTGCATTTTTTGAGGTATTTACTTTAGGATTTGTTTGTTTCTTCTGTTACTTTATTTTTATGTAAGAAGATCTAAGTTTTGAATCGAAGGTTTGGGGAAGAAGGGATTTTCTGCGAGAAAGCAAACGGGTTAGCAAGTGTACTCCACATCAGTTATTTTTCTACATGATTTTTGATTTTGTTGGATATTTTTCTTCGTTGTTGCAGTTCTTGAGGTACTTTGTTCAAGATTTATTTTTCTCACGATTTTCATAATTTCTCTTTTCGTTGTCTATACAGAATCATTTGACGGGATTGATATTATATTTGTAGATATTATGTTCTCACTAACCGTGTTTGTCGAAGTATTCTTATCCAAAATGAGAGTTGATCATTTATTTTTTTCTGATTTGTAAAAAAATGTTATTTATAATGTTTTGGAAAAAAAATATAAGGTGCTAAAAAATTGCTGCTATTGAATAGTTTCTTTGTTCTAGAAGTTTTAAACCTCAGTTTATAATGTATTTGCCCAAAACAGAAAGAAAAAATATGGCACATGAAACCTATAACTTCACCACGAGCCAGACCCATTTGTGTTTCATCTTAACTGTCAAAACAAGCTTAGGAAATGCCATTTAAGCTTCAGCCTTTTTGATTAATTTTCTCCTTTAAACTCTCTTAGCATTTGAGCAAAAAATTCTTTGTTGCTCTTATAGAACCCAGGGTTGAAACAGAGATCAAGGTTACTATTTCAAGGGTCGGTCCTTGTTATGAAAGACCTCAAGTCTAGCTACATTTGGATTCCTCTTCGACAGAATTGGTAAGTACTCTATATTAATGCATATTTGAAACTTTATCACATACTCTGCAAGCGACGTGTGGAATGCCACATTCATGTGTACCCTAGATTCATAGTTATTTGGGAGAAACTTTTACACGTCCTAAAGAACATGCTCTAAACTTTTGTTTTGGATATTTATATTATTGTAGAATAAAGGCCAGACTACTGAAGATACTGTGTTATGACTATGAGGTTCTCTTTTCTTTCTTCCTACAACTCGTCTTTATGTTACAAGAGGGGAAGAGGATGCTGATTTTCTTTTATAAAAACTTGTTATTTTTTTACTTTGGCTTGGATAGTTACATATTTATGTGTATGAAGATATCTGGTCTGCACTTAGAACAAAGCATTTGATATTTTTTGTTTTACATTTAGTACACTATGAGTGCAAATCATTGTCTAATTTTTCTGAATATCAAGACAAACACCTCAGATGTGCTGGATACTGTGCAGATTGAAACATGTCTACAGTAGATTATTTCATTGTTGTCGTGTTCAACGATGTCTAACCTCATAATTGCCTATTTGGAAGTTCATACGCATGCTGCAATTCATTTGATATCATTAATACATATATTCATGATCTTATGATGTATGAATGTGGAATGAATGATCGCTTGATAATTGTTTTTACATGCATGTCTCTCTATAGCTGTCATTTATTTTAGTTTGATTGTGTTTTGTTGTCTTTTGACTTGGGGATTTTGAAAGTCAATTGTGAACAAGCTATTGAGTTAAAGTCTTAGTAATTGCTTGCTCTTAATTCTTTCCTTTAATTTAGTTTACTTACTATACTTTCATTTTCAATATTACAGCACTAAATGTTAAAGATACATTATTATAAGGACAAGGTAGTTACCTCAGAAAGTATGCTAGAGATTCTATGCAATAGAAAGTTAGAGCTAAATTTTGCCTTGTAACTTAAGTCAGTGCCTAAAAATTAAAGGTAAAACATGTACTCTTTTCTCTTAACAAGTAAAAAAGTCCAACTATAGATCAATCATGTAACTAAACAAACTTGCCTCTAAATAAATGTGTATATGTGGAGTGTTAGAAGGGTGTACAAGCCTATAATAAAGTGTGGTTGACATCTTTGCATTGCTAATTTACTAATGCCTTTGAACTTTATTCAAGTTTTTGAGTTAACATTTGAGATTTCAATGTGGTGCATTTGTGTTCTATACCTCTCTCATCTTTTACATGAGGTATAAACAACACAGTTTAATTGAAGTTTATGTGAATTGAGAAACTGTAGAGCTAACAGTAACTTGCCTTTGATGTCATTCAATTTTCAGCTGCTTCAATTTTTAATTATTTCTCCCTTTACTTGAGGTGTAAGTGGCCTGGTTTAGTTATCTAACATAAGAAAGCTATAAAATGGCAGGGTATTATTTAGGCCCCGTTTGAGTCACATTCTTTCGAAAAAATATATTCTTAAACAGTGATTTAACATCATTCCAATCACACATCATTCAATAAAATGATATTACATGCAAATCCAAAATTTTTCTTTATTTTTTAACCACACATTTATTATTAATACACTATTTAAAAACGCATTCTTATGAAAACAATCTGGGTCAAACAAGGGCTTATTATTTAATTGTTGGAGAAAAATACTTTACAAATGATATATGAGAAGTATGATTAGGCTTTGCCATTTTAAATGTTAAATCTACAAATTCAGTTCAATTTTCAAATGTAATCATCTCTGTTTCTTATTTTACTTGCTTCTTTAATCACATCTAATACAATGGTGGATGCTAATCTTCAAAAGCTGCATGAGATTGTAACCAAGAATTGTTATCATACATTGGCTTTCTCAAGAGTGTCCATTCCAAAAGAAGACAAAATAACTCAAATTAGAAATATAGAAGGACTTTTGCTTGTGGTAAGTAACCTTATTTTTATATTTTATCTTCCTAAACTCTCAAATATTTTCCTTGGTGTTTATTTTTAAACATACATATTATTAACTCATCCTTATTCTGTTAACATAGCATAGCTTCTTTTGGTTAAAAGCAAAACCACATATCACACATTATGATCAATCTTTATGGTACATGTCTTGCAACAACTGCAAGAAATCTGCATATGCGAATTTCGATGAAATCCATTGCTGCTCATTTTAGAAAAACTCTCAAGCACGTGCTGTTCGAAGGTAATAATTGCATACACGTCAATTAGAATTTCATACAGTACATGTTTTTCCAACTCTTATGTCATCTATCTATGTTGTATTGCCATTGGGCAAGAGCTTCTATCCAATTGCAAGATTCATCAGGTTGTATTGATGCTACCATTATAGGAGAACCTGCTGAGAAGTTCTTACAATGCTCTGCGCTTATACTTATGAAACAACTCTGATACCTACCTCAAACATATTTTTAAATTATTATGCTATCATACATTCATTTACATTGCTAATTCTAGCATTCCTATTTCTGCATGACAAAAACAAACCTCTCAGAATCAATCCATACCTCAACAAATGAAGATCTATTCTTCTATGTAAAAGCTGTAAAATAAAAAAATGGATATGAATACAAGTACGAAGTCAGCTCACTGTAGATACATCTTCAACAACATGAAAATTCACATGTAAGCATTGATGGAAGCACATTTCTAACTCCATTTGTTGAATCACTACACTTGATGCAACATGATTCTAATGAATCATCAGCTCGAAGGGTAATATTCTCAACTTCTAGTTCTTCACATTCCCAAAACAAAGAAGATGAAAGAAAAATAGTGGTTAAGGCAAAGGCATTGCAGTGAATGAATCAATTGATGAGAATTTTGAATGATGCAGAATGTTAAGCATTGGAGAAGTTATGCAAGTTAGAAATGGTTTTTGTTTCTTCGTCTCTTTCCAGTTAGAACTGCAAGATGTAGCAACAAATAGATCCTAGAATTTGCATATGAAATTTAAAATATCACTTGTATTTCAAGCTACTCATGAAGTAGTTATTCAGCTAAACATTGTAGTTTGGGTCTATAACTGTTCTACATTCAGACTTTGATATTCTGGTTAGTTAAATGAAATTGTGTGATGGTTTTTGGATCGTTATTATCTTTTTGGTTGATGTTTGTGTACGCCTGTCTCCATTGTGTAGATTGTACAGCTTCTCATTGATAAGAATAGGAGACTTGAAAAATAGCTTCTTACGATTACTCTAAGCCTATGTTTGTTTCCCATTGTTTGGCCATTAAAAAAAAAAATGTGATCGTTATTCATCACATTAAGTCACCATATTTGAATTTCTATCTTTTGTGTGGGGTTTGTAATGATTATATTTTTCATTCTCATTTTTACATTAATGGAAAACAAACAGGGCCTAAATGTTGCTAACATTTCAATCCAGTTGAATTATTTGTAGCCTAGGTGAGGATTTCCCTATGAAAAATCAAGATGATAGAATTTTTTGATTTTTCAATATTAGAACATTTTTGGTGCAATGGTTGCTTTAGTTAATATATTCGAAGAATGACTTGTTCAAAACAACCTGGAAAATTTAGACTCATTTGATGTTAATCTATTGCCGTTAAAAAAAATAAAAATATAAAGTTTTATAAATTGTGTATTGTAGAGATGAGTATATCTTACAAAATGTGCAATACATTTAAAAATAACATTGACCAAATTTGCATATACTTATTTTTAACACTAATCAAGTAACGTGCAATGCACGTTAATTCCACTAGTCATTTAAAAAAAAAAAAAGAAATACTCTTCGTATTAGTCAACTTGGGCGGTGCATCAATTTTCTTGTTTGAGTTGTCTCAGTCTTGTCAAGAATTGTGATTTTGACAATTTGATAGTTTTTTTTGTGTGTATGTAATTACAGAAAATGTTGAAGGCAGTTGTCACCTCTACCGCTAGTTATAAAGTTTGCTATCGTCTTGGCTCTGACATCATGAAAATGATTGATGCGTTAGCTTTCCTTTGTGCTTAGTTTGGGGAGAATATGTGTGCTTCCAAGCTTGTACTTTACCTCATGCTTTGTTTGGACATTGACTCGGAAAAACGAAAAAGTCGAGGGGTAATGGGTTGAACTGAATAGCTAAAAACAGATAAATAAATATATTTCAAATAGTATGTAATAATGGATAATAGTACAATATTGTTAATTGAAATATTTGAAGAGTATTCTAATTTTTTGTTAATTAAAATAAGATAAAAATAATTAATTAAGTCAATTAAATATTTTTTAATAAAAAAGAGAGGTTGAGGGAAGAGAATTGTAATTAGAGAGAAATAAACATTAATGACTATGACTACAAAAATCAAAAATCAAAAATCAAAAATCAAAATAATTGCAGCTGAGATTTGTCTACAGCCATAGACGTGTGCTTTTGGTTTGTCCCACATCGAATTCACACTGGAAAATCGCTGGAAATTGATTCCATAAATGGGTGGGCCACTGGATGCTCACAACTTTCGGGCCCTTTACATCGAAAGGCTGAAAGTTGAAAAATTTATTATTTTGAATCAACCAACAGGATAAACCGGTTCCGGGTATCCGGTTAGTGCATAAATTGGTCAGTTGATTGGTTTTTAACGGTTTTAAATTAAATCTTGATTTTGGATCGGTTCTTGGGCTTACCCATTGAACCGGCCGATTCGATTCAGTTTTAATAGCATTGATTTGTAAAAAATTTAGATAGAAAAATTATATATACATGTGCATACTGGTAATGGTAAAATCCAACAATGGTTTTCATGGTAAAAATAAGATTTTACTTTTAGGGCTCGTTTGATTAGATGAATTTTTCATGGAAAATGGAAATTTTTTTCCACTTTTCACAGTTTTAGGTGTTTGATTGACAAATTTTTCAAGACAATTGGTTTTTTAGCTTCACCCCTCACGTGTCCAAGCTTTCCACCATTTTAAGGAATTGCAATTCCCATGGGTTAGGTGGGAAAATGGGTTTTCCAACTTTTTTTTGGCAATGAAAATAAATTTTATTAACAATTGTAACAATTTCTAACCCTTTAATTGACAAATTTTCATAGAAAATAAAATCAAACGAACACCCAAAGATCTAAAATTTCAACATTTTTCAAGTGAAAATTATACCAATCAAATACATTTAATTAACAATTCTCAATAAAACAAATTCTAGACAATTCAATTTTCTGGAATTCATTTTCTTTCCACCCAAATTCCTTTCTTGCAATCCGACGGATCCTTAAACCTTAACAAAAGTTACCAACATTGAGTATGCATTCCACTGGATTCGTTGGTCATCTCTAGATTTTCTTGGATTCGGTCTGACATTTTCTCTAGTTAATTATGATTAATTTGTTGATAATAAGCAACTTTTCGTATATGGTTAGCTAGTTGACCAAAAATGACTATCGTGGTGCATCGTGCGAAAGTTACGTGTTCACATTACTTAGACAAATATGCATATTATACTCTTTCTTATATTAATTTATTTGTGTGATGTGAATTTAGTCTAATTTTTCTTTGTGTTTGCTTCCCTTCTATTTCCATTTTGCCCAAATTTCAACGTCCTAGTTTCTGCGCAATTTCTTGCAATTATTCTAGGCCGACAGAGTTGGTTTAATAATTTCTTGAGAGAAATTGATAGGCTTGATTGACCATTTGAATGGCAAAAAGTAAAACCCTTTTACATTTGTTTTACATATATAAAGAAAGACTTTAAGAAGGTTTAAAATTGACTGATAGAATCATTGGTATTAAAAAATTGAACTTGTTAAAAATCAATGTTCTAAAAAGCTCGTCTAGGCTCGAAGGTGGGGCAAAACGTTTCGATCTGAGTCTAGACGTTTTTTTTTTCCAATTCTTAAATGGCTGAATTTTTTCTTTAATTTCTTTTGTTTTCGTTAGACGCACTTTATTATTAGTTTTTTTTAAAAATATTTATTTGACTTTATAGCTTATTATTATTTAAAAAAAAAAAACACTTTTCATTTGACTTTGATTTCAAGTCTTAAAAAGATTTTATTTGCACAAAAATTAAAAATGACTTTATCTAAATAGTTAAATAAAATTTAAGTTTTGGTATTATTTACATTATGTAATTATGATCTTGAGATTCATCTTATTACAAACTTCAAAAATACGTATGAAATTCTTAAAAATCTGTTAAATATGTCTTGTTTAATTGAAAATTGAAACTATGGAAACTATTCTATTTTTTGCATTTCGAAAACTTTAAAATTGTACAATTGACTAATGGTGGAAGTTATTAAGTAAATATTGTATTTTATAATTTTTGATATTTAATATGTATTATTTTAATTATTAAATAATTTTTGAAATGATTAAAAATTTAAAATAATATTATAAATAAAAAACGTTTTTTTAATCTAGTAAAACTTGAAGTTTCAACTCCATGTCTAGCCATGCTTCACGCTTTTTAGAACATTGTTAAAAATACTAATTTGATTATACTTCTCATATTTAAATAGTGTAGGATTTCAACAGCGGTGATTTCTTTGAAAACACAAATCTTAAATTACGATTGTCCATGCGAACATTTTGTGTTGGATTTTTTTGCCCAAATTTGATTGGAATTTTTTGGGAAAAATATTATTTCCTTATTTCACGATCTTTTATTTGAAAAAAAATATTGCTTCATTTATTTCATATTATTTTTATGTTATTTCCATCTTTGTGGTATTTTTTGGGTTTTTCATACACCGCTATAAATATTAGAATATTTTCGCAAGTTTTGCATTATTCAAATAGAGAATAATTGTATAGGCACGATTATTATATTTGTTTTCTTCATATTCATCAATTGAATAAAATACTCCATTCTTCTGCCAATTAATTCTTTGCATTTTATCTTGTTGTTTGTTTATAATCATATACTGCATATCGCGCCATTACCTCCATCTGTTTTATTTTTCAACAAGTGGTATTAGAGCTTTTAGTTGTGATTTGTTCGAAGTTTTTGTTATTAATGATAACCATAAAGTATGACAATTCGCGCTTGGATTGCAATACAAGATTCTTGTTGTGGCAAGTGAATATGAGAGCTGTACTGGTACAGATGGATTTGGATGATGCGTTGCTGGGATTTGATAAAATGCCCACAACTTGGATGACGGAGGAGAAACAATGAAAGAATCGGAATGCACTTTCACGAATTTATCTTCATCTCTCTAACAATATTATTTAAGACGTTTTGAAGGAGAAAACAATAGCTGCGTTGTGGTTGAAATTGGAGCAGATGTTATATTTTTATTACATGGTAGAAGGCGGATCGCTAGAAGATCACTTGGTTGTGTTCAAAGAAATTGTCGCTGATTTGGAAATTTTAGAGGTAATATATGATGAAGAAGATTTAGCCTTAATCATTTTGTATTCGCTGTCCACTTCATTTAGAGACACGATCTTGTATAGTCGTTATACTTTTACCGTTGAAGATGCATATGATGCCTTGTTTTCAAAAAAGAAGATGAAGCATTTGGTTGGATCTGAGGCCAAAGTTGGAGAAGGCTTAGTTGTTCATGGTGATCGGAGAAAGGGTAAGTCGAGATAAATTTTAATAATAAGGTTTGTTATTATTGCAAGAAGAAAGGACAATTTAAGAAGGATTGTGACAAATTGTAGAACAAAGGTTATTTGATTGCAAATCATAGAAAGCAATCAAATACTTCAGATGAGACCAACATAGTTGAAAATTATATGAGTGATGTAGATATTTTGACGATTTCTAACATGGAATCCAAACCTAACGATGAGTGGATTTTTGATACAGCTTGTGCATTCTATATGTGTCCCAATCGAGATTTATTTGAAACATATGAAACGATGATGCAAGGTGTCGTTGTCATAGGTAACAACGAACCTTGTCGAGTAGCTGATATTGGTAGAGTCAGATTGAAGTTGGTAGATGAGACATGTAAAACACTTGATCACGTTCGACATATTTCAGACTTGAATAAAAATCTCATTTCATTAAGTACTCTTATTTTAAAAGGGTGCACGTTCTTTGGAGGAGGGGTGGAAGAGGTTCCAATTATACATCTTTAAAAGATCGGGAAAAATTTGTGAAGAAAAGTCAGCACAGATTTAGTACCGTGGTGGAGATTCAGTTTGGTATTATACATTCGGAATTTGGTCCACAGTCCGACATTAAAGAGTACTACTCAATAAAGTTTGAAGGATATGGGCAATTTCGCTTTCCCACCATTACCTGTAGTTCCATCATATAAAACTACTAGGGATAAACCCATTGGAGATAGGTACGTGGATGCTGATTCGATTGCACATGCTTTTAGCGTTTTTGAAGGTGTTGAGACTAGCCAGGGGGGCTTCTATGAAAGTATTGGGAGTTGATTCTACTACTGTACGTGCTTCGACATAGTTTGGTAATTTCTAATTTTTTGTAAATTTTGGAAAACTTGGTGCTTGGGTTTATGTATCTGTATAGAATACCGTGGAAGAGGATGGGTATTTTGTGTTGGAGAAAGTTTGACTCTTGTTGAAAGAGTTCAAATTTTTTGTTGTAGTCGGATATATTATTATAGGTGGAGAAATTTTTGAGCTTCGTTGGTTGCATTGGATTTTGTGTCAAGGTTGAAATTGTTGGATTTTTTTAACCCAAATTAGGTTAGATTTTTTTGGGGAAAGTATTGTTTTCTTTATTAACGCGCTTTTATTGGAAAAGTATTATTTCCTTTATTCTACGTGTTTCTATTGAAAAAAATATTATATCCTTTTTTCATATTATTTTTTATCTTATTTCCATTTTTGTAGTATTTTTTAGGGTTTGGCATACACCCCTATAAATATTAGACTTTTTTCACAAGTTTTCTATTATTGAAATATAGAATAATTGTGTAAGCACAATTCTTTGCCTTCTATTAGACTTCTATTTGTTTTCTCCATATTCGTCAATTGAATATAATAATTTGTTCATTTGCCAATTAATTCTTTGCCTTCTATATTGGTGTTTGTTTGCGATTATATATTTCATATCGTGTCACATATGTTACATCCATCCGTTTTATTTCCCAACATTTTGAAATCTAAAATTTATCCATTGTTTGACAATTATTATTTGAAAATTCATTTTACTATGTACTCATTTTCAATCACATAATTATACAATAAAATATATAACACCTAAATTTAAGTTTTTTTCATACTTTCTCAAAACACGCGGTCTTACATATCATTATTCAAAATATTGTTTTTCCCTCGACGTCAGTCTTAAAAAAGTCAATTATTTTAAGAGGAAGAGCCTAATTGATTACATGTATGATGATCTGTTTTTTCCTCTTTTCCTTCTAGCAGCTGTGATTAATTTTGGTTTTGGGCAATTGACTTGAAGCCGCCAGGCTTCGAATTTATGGTCTTCTTTTATATATATATATATAGTACTTAAGATTCATATTGCTAGAGCAATATATACAGTAGATATATATACACTTAAAATATCAAATTATTGTGTAAATTTTCTGGGAAAGTTTATCTGATTCCTTCTCTTTTAATTGATTTCCAGGAGTGGTTTAGATTTGTTTATGATTTTAATCTGAAAATTTTCTTGGGAATAAAAAAGAAGAAGATTTTGTTAAATTGAAGGACTTGTTCTAAGCAATTTTGAGGTGATGGGAGGAAGAATTTCGAGCTCTAGAAGGTCTTCTTCATCCTTTGGTTCATTTGATGATCATGGCTATCTACAGTCTCCATACACTCCCCGCCACTCGGTGTATACGCCTCGGCACCACCACCAGGCGTCGCCGATGTCTTACGACTACGGGGTGCGGACCCCGCAACCGCAGCGGGGATTGGATAGGAAATTTTCAAGAATTGCTGATAACTACACAACCTTGGAACAGGTTAGGCCATCTGAATCATTTCAGTTATCTCAAGAAAAATTGATTAGTTAATTTGATGATACAGAGTTCTTGTACAAAGCCAAATGAAGTCGTTATTGGGTGTCTTACTTTATGGTTATCAAGTTCTATGTTAGTCAACTTTCATTTCTGCATATGAAATCAGTACATCTATTCCCACTCCGTTTTTTTATTTTGTAATTTTTAAAGTGAATGGAGAAATTAACTTCTATCGATATGCAAGAAAAAGTTTCGCCCCCAAATGTTAATATTCACGGTCACGAAGCTTCACCTACGAGCATGACACTTTTATTACTCTCCAACAATTCTACTGTTGAACTATCTTGTTTAAAATTCTAAACTATTTAGAAACTATGATGTTCGGACTCGGTTAGGTTATCGGGTATGGATATGTATCTAAATTTTGGATATTTTATTTTCTAAAACGTAGGATATGGGGGCATAGATTAAAAATAGTTCATGTTTCGGACACGGGTATGTTGATATGTATTTCTAACTTTAATTTTTTTACTAACCCAAAATGTTATATTGAATAGACTAAAATAAATTGTTTACAAAGAAGGAAATGAGTATTGAATAAAATAGAATTTTGGGGTTTAGTTTTATAATGGGAAGCTAATAACTAATTGTTATATAAAATAGAATTATGAGGGACTTGATTGCAATTTGAACTTAGTAGAAGAAAGAAGTAAAAGAAGAAAGAAGCAAAATCAGCACAGTGTCTAGTTGAAATTTGGAAGATTCGACACATATCTTATACCCATATTGTGTCGTGTCGACATGGGTACTTTTACCATTTGGAACAGATTGAGCATCAGAGATTAGAAAGAGACTTTAACTTATTTGAATTTAATTTTCAACACGTTCTAATGTGCAAATCCTATTACTTATTTTCATTGAAGGTCTCACTTTAGCACAACTTTCATAAATGAGTGGTTGTGATACTTTAACTCATGACATCTATTTGTTGTAGTACATTGTTGAACCACCTCATCTAAATGCTCAAGTTATTGCAAGGGAGATTTTATTTTTTAAAATTTAGTTTTCTATATGCACAACGCCGTTTCATGGTTTAGGTTACTCCCATTTCCCTCACTGGTAGTGCATGTATCACTCATATTTCCTTTTCAATCTAAGTAAAGTACAAGAAATATGATCTTCTTCTTGTTCTTGTAATCATCCACTCTATACACTCTGACTGCTACAATGAGGAAAGAGGCATGGAGGAGGAACTAAGATGCCCTTATTTTGATTAACTAGTTTTATTTTATTTATTTATTTTAAGTAGCATTACTGAATTAGATGCAATGTTTTTTTTTTTTATTAATTAAGAATATAGCTTATGGTCTGAATCCATATTTCAGAATATATAACATCATTTTACTTTGTAACTCGAGAAAAAATCATATGTACAGACCAAAACTTGTCTACGATTTTGTACTATTGTATTTCTGAAATTGGACTTGGATGGCCTTCATTCATTAAATTGAGTGATTCATAGCTTTATTTTCTTCAGGTAACATCTGCTCTTGCCCAGGCAGGACTAGAGTCTTCTAATCTTATTGTTGGCATAGATTTCACAAAGAGCAATGAGTGGACAGGTTCATTCTTAACCTTTTTAGGGACTGATATTTATGACTTCAGACAGTAGGCTAATCTTTTTCTTAAACCAGGATCGAAGTCGTATAATCGGAAAAGTTTACATCATATCGGAAGTGGCCAAAATCCCTACGAGCAAGCTATATCCATAATAGGGAAAACCTTATCCGCCTTCGATGAGGATAACTTAATTCCATGTTTTGGATTCGGAGATGGTATTTTTTATAAAACGGCTTTGATGGAGATATTCTCAAATTTATTATTGGTTCCATTTTTGGCTCACATTAAAATGGCCCTTGTTTTCTTGCAGCCTCAACGCATGATCAAGACGTCTTCAATTTCTATTCGGATGGAAGGGTTTGTGATGGATTTGAAGAAGTACTAAGAAGATACAGGGAATTAGTTCCCCAACTTCGACTGTCAGGTACTTGACATTGAACCTAAGAAAAATCATCGTAAATCACAATTGCGGAGTTAAGGTGATCATTGCACGATTACTATGCAACACTAGATAGGACTGATTGTAATGAACAAGAACTTTTTACCTTCTTTATCCTTCCTTAATAAAATCGAGTGCTAAGCAATTCTTTCTACCAAACATGCCCAAAGTTTTGAGCTTCTGAACATATATGAACTCATGCCAGGTCCAACATCATTTGCACCTATTATTGAAATGGCTACAACCATTGTTGAGGAAAGCAGAGGCCAGTACCATGTCTTGCTAATAATTGCAGATGGCCAGGTGATTCCTCGATTTTTGGTCATGTTTGAATTCGGTACTGAATAAGATTAGATACAATAAACAATATTTCAACTTATTTTTACTTCTATACAATTCATTAGATTTTTTTCTCGATCTTCTTTAAGCTAAAAAATAGAAAATATCGACGTTTAATAGATATCTTCTTATATTGGCATGTTTTCCGTATTTTCTTACCTGTAAATGTTAATACGTTCACTGGAATGGCTGTTGATTCAGGTGACAAGAAGTACTGATACGCCGCGTGGCCAACTTAGCCGGCAGGAGCAAAAGACTATTGATGCTATTGTTAAAGCTAGGTAAATATATCGTTTGCTCAAAATTTTCTTGCAATTCCATTCTAATAATGTCTATTCAATTGCAGTGACTATCCCTTGTCAATTGTAGTCGTCGGGGTTGGAGATGGTCCTTGGGACATGATGAAGGAGTTTGATGACAACATTCCTGCACGTGCATTTGATAATTTCCAGGTAAATAACATAGGATTTGTCACTGAAAATCGCGTATTCTGATTTTTGAAAGATTGCTGAAGTGAAAGTATTTGCATTTTCTCGTGTTTCTGCTAGTTCGTAAATTTTACAGATATCATGTCTAAGAATGTGGATCCATCAAGAAAAGAGGCGGAATTCGCTCTCTCAGCATTGATGGAAATACCTTCTCAATACCAAGCCACTCTCGAACTCAACATATTGGGGTAAAGATTGAATATGTCTATTTGACTATTATTCATTAGCTTTAGACTTTCAGTAATAGAGATGTATTGCTTTCTGTGTGGTGCAGTCATCAGACTGGAAATGACCCAGGCAGAGTTTCTCTTCCGCCGCCTGTTTATGGCAGAGCTTCTTCGACCAATCGATTTAGACCTTACCCGTCAAGCAGTTTCCAGCGACATGTGTCCTCTGATACCGCTGATGACATAACTGCTCCAAGGGCCTTATCGCCGAGCACCATTTATGACAGTAAGGTAAGAGGCAATTATCATGAGTTGTGCTATGGACAGTTTCAAGTACGTATATTTACACATCAATGTAAGATGGGGCGATTTGGACCGATTTTCATGTTGTTGGATAGAGTGGAGTCTAATTATATTTACACTTAAGTTGACCACAATAATTGGAACATAGTATTAGAACACTGTATAACAGATGCTAAAAGTGATTTAGGTTTCTCTCTTTCTCAATTCTGTTGAGTACACTCGAATCGACCGTACCGAACTTGCCACGTAGGTAATTATTAAAAGGACTAAAACCTTTTCCTGCTTATTTTCGAACTTCTAATTTCACTTTCTGTGAAAAACAGGTTTGTCCCATATGTCTCAGTAAGTTAAAGGACATGGCTTTTGGATGCGGGCACCAGGTAAACGATACCATGTTTCTACTACTCATAAATCATAATTTTTTTTTTAATCCTCTAATTAATGTCATACACTTGATTTATATTCTTACATCCTGTTTTTCAAATTTCTGGGCAGACCTGTTGTGACTGTGGAATAGACCTTGAATTTTGTCCAATATGCCGTAGCTCAATCACAACCAAAATAAAGCTATATTCATAGACAAGAATGAGTGGGTATCTTTAAAGCACTTCTTAACTCATGGTGCTTAGAATTAGTTATAATCCGGACTAATGAAGAAGGTTCGACTACTCGCTCTATTCACCTATATATCGACTTTTTCTTTGTTTAAGTTTGCTTTTCAATTCGAACTTTTGATAAATGTGTACTTTGGTAGGGAATTGGCTACCTAAGCAATGAGAGGACAAGTTTTATGTGGTTTTTATAGAACACAAAGATTTCGAGTAGATGCTACCTGATATCAAACTGAGCTTCTAGAAACTGCCTGCTCGAGTTCAAGGAGCATCGCTCATAAAGTGCCCCGAGAACACGATGATCAACATTTTATTAGGGTCGAAAGCCTGTAGGAGATAATGTGTATCATTTCTGATATAGTGATTTTTCTTTTTTTCCTGTCATCATTGTACATAAATGAATATGCATTTCTTGTTGAAAGAAATGAGGTGGTAGAAATTAGACGTGTGCTTATAGTTTAATGTATTGGGCTTTTTCTTGTATTTTTCAGGTTTGTAATTACACGTTTTGCTGTCTGGGATTTCTCATTGCACGTTGTAAAATTTGAAGGCAGTTTTGTCTGCACTTGTTACTGTAATAAAGAGCCTTTTATCTCTATGCTTATTTTATGTTGGGAATAGATTCTAAATAAATTAGGTATGCCATTTTTTATTTTTTTCTGTGTATTTTAAGTTGGAAAATGCTGTGTGTATATCTTGTGGTGTACACATGGCTTTACACCCTCCTCACATAGAGGGGGGCCCACGAATATTTTATTTCATGTGGGCCCCCTCGATGTGAGGGGGGGGGGGGGGGGGGGGGGGATGTAGAGCCGTGTTTTACTGAAATATGTAAAACAACATTAAAATGTACAACAAACCATGTTAAATTCGAGTTTACCTCTCCCCCGGTCTCTCTCTCTCACAGTTCGTTTTGACAAGACCACATAGCTGTCACAGGAAGTCTAAGCACAACATATAGACCCTGTTTGGCCCCCATTTTTTGAAAATGAAAATGGGTGGAATAATATTTTTTTGAAAAATTAATGGTTGAAAAAGAAAGAAAAGTTTTCGATTTTCGTGTAATATTATTTTATAAAAAATTGAGTGGTTGAAAATAAGAGAGAGAAAAAAGAAATATAATGTAATGGAATTTAATGGTGGCCAAATAGGGGCATATTTAGCTAATTCTGCTGTACCCATAAATAAATTTCAATCGATGTGCTTTATAAAAAATTGAAGTGATTTTATGTACGAAATCAATTAGAATTATTGAAACGATATTACAAAATACAAAAGCATTCTACCGATGATATCACATTTTGTTTTAATCACGACAACTTAGATATAGTATGAGAATGTTATCAAATTATTCTAGTTGTACAACTGAGGTTGACAACGTACACACAGTAAGGGGGACCCACAATTTTTTTATTCAGAGTGAACCCCACTCTCACGTTGTGGTTGTCAAACCCGTTTGTAGATATAGCATAACTGAATGTTATCAAGGATTACAAAGACGAACCCATGTTATTACACAGAAATCAACATTGCTTCCATTTCCCAAGTCAGTGACTATGCTTGAGGAGATGGCGTCGGCAACTAATTTTATCCCTTCATCCCTCTACAAAATCATTTATAAAAATCGACATGACGAATTGCATTTATTAAGTATTGGAGACTAAAGTTATCTAAATAAATATGTCTCCTCTTTAGCATCTTAAACTTTTAGATAATGTGGCTCTACATGGTATTGATGTACACAATTCTTAGGTCAAGTTTTGTTGCAACCCATTTATAAAAAATGCACAATTTAGGCAATTAATGATAAAATGAATCCAGCCTCCACATGATGGAATGCTATAGAAATAATTTAAATAGATGTGTCAACACTCTAATTGCCCTGAGCTTCTAGATAAGATAATTCAACATTAAACCCTTATTTGACGGCCACTACAAAGGGAAATTGGGGAAAAATATTGTTTTGAATAATGATTTTTTGAAGAATGCGTGGTTAAAAGTAAGGAAAAATTTTAGATTTACGTATAAAATATTTTATTGTATGAATGTGTGGATGGAAACGAATATGAGAAATCTATAATTTTAATTTAATGGGAGTCAAACATGTTGGAAGTCTACTTATCATGCGCCCACCAGAATTCATCTTTGTGTTTAGATATAAATTGTATTAAAAGTCATACATTTTTCTAGATCTGCAAACTCCTTTGCCATTCTTTCGTTTCAACGATCTCGATTCGTCATCCACAGCTGTCCAACTATCCAGCCTCCAACGATGATCCACATAGAGAAAAAGATTGCAGGATTATATTTTTTTTTCTCTTGTGCTAGCAAGAATGAATTCACTATAACCCTAATCATATTTATATAAGCCCGAACGGGACGGTCCAATATTTAATTATCCCATTTAAGCCTTTAAATAAGCAACACAATTAATTAATTTATCCAACGCTTATTAAATTAATTAATTGATAAATCACAATCTTCTAGTTCTCCTTTTGTCTACGACCCGTCAGGTTCCCGATTACGATATCTAACGACGTGAAATATTATTTTGATTTAATCGAAATTGATAGATTAAAACACCCTATTAATTTATCACCAGTTCACACTCGCCATTCCAAATTAACATCTAGCAATGTGTCAAGGAAATACATGTGACGAAAAATGTCACGTGATATGACGAAATCAAACTCGTTCGTTTATCGTGAAACTATAATTCCTTCATCATTATAATCCGATCAATTACGAGATTTGAAAGTGTGTCAATCTCGATTATCGATCATATCTTTCACTCCACTATTAAGTCAATATAGTCGAAAACTCATTTTTGACTTATGAGTACACCTTGGCCAATGATTTCATTATCAATTTAATTGAATGAAATGCAGATCATAATCTCTTACTATTTAAGAGTGACGAATTCTCTACTGGTCATTCACAACTTTCATATGATTCTTGACATACCCGAACGATATCGTATTAGCGGCTCTTGGCAGAGCAACATCCAATACCGTCAAAGCATGACTGTTTTCATATAAGGTACTATGACAATTTCAAGTCAAAGGACCAATCCCACTACCGAATAGTAGAGATTAACCACAGACACTCAGATAATTATCTATGTGGAATTTCTCGGCGGGTCTCCAACGTTTTGTTCTATAACAAAACATTCACGTATTCATTTAAGTATCACCAGCCTTTAGCTTGTGAGATCAGTTACTTACTTCACAAGTAAAAAATGTCACACTTGTTGGTCTATCGTAATAACTATATCTGTATCTCTTCATTATTTACGATCATGGATAATTTAAAATTCAATCATATATAATTTGTATCTCACAATCAAAACTTCTTGTGATTAACAAATTACTAAAATTTGAATCTATGAACTCCATTATTTAATTCAATTGAATATTAATTAATTAAATAATATATCTATCATAAATCGCATTAACTATATATCAAAGGTGTTTATATCCAAAGTCGATTGGACTTAGGGCATAACAATTACAAAACAGGGACTAAATATCTATAATATGAAAAGAACTTAAGCGAAGCCCTTCACGAATTTAACTCAAAAACAGCCATTGCAGCAGTAGAGCCAAACATGCTCAGTTCTCATAAGGTGGCCTAAAAAAGATGAGCCTTCAGCAATGAAAGAGCTATAACCACCTTGGACCTGCGACCAGTCTAATAGCATTGTAGCTTCGGCTGAGAACTAACCATGTCTAGTAAAAGAAATGCAATCAAGAAATTGGACATTTTCTCAAGTAAAAATTAGCCATGCAAATTTGTAGACGTAAAAGTTTTGAAAGAAGTCGTCAATAACACAAGTTAATATAGAAGTGTGAGTTAGCCTATGTTTGGCTCATTTTTATAAATACTTAAGCCAGAGATGGAGTGAAGTGGGGGCATCACTCGGTTGTAGCCCAATGCTTCCAAAGTCTTTGTCCATTAAAAGGCCCAAAAAAGTGTTTGAAATGTTTTAGTTTTAGTCCAACAGCCACCCCATTTTGTAAATTCAACCTGGCCTAAAAAATTATTTAAATATCCAATAGCCCATTACCTAATTATACAACAAAATGAACAAATATATCTCCTTCACTTTCATTCTACTTGCCATTTACACGTCTCTAGCTATTGGGTTGAAAATTTTGAAAACAAAATTTCCAAATCTTTGAATAACCCTAATAGGCTAATCCCCAATCTTTCTACTCTTTTCCCTAATTACCATCTCAAAGGAGAGCCGTCAACCACAAGGAAGAAGAACAAGTGAAGTTTGAAGAGTTTCGATCGACTGTCGGCAAATTCGATTCGAAGCCCATTTCTAGCCAACGACTTGTTTCCTTCGATTATTGGTTAGTAATTGTGGCCTTTTTTTAATACTTGTATCAAGATTTAAAATGACCCTTTTTTTGGTATTAAAACAATTTTTTTGGGTAAGGTGTTCTAGTGTTTTAATTTCTTTTGCTATGTGTAATGTGTTTGATTAATGATGATTATTTATCTATGTTATGTTAATGGGTTATATTATTATGCTACAATTTTAATTTTTATAACATATTCTGAAAATGGTGTACTGGTGTGTAAGATATTCTAAAAAAATTAGAAGATAAATAGATAATAAAAATTAGAAACCATTTAGAACATGTATCTCATGGTTAGATGTTGATCTTTGCAATATATTTTGAAAATGGTTCTAATTTTTATTAAGTTCGAAGAGTCCACCGAATGTCCGAATCAAAGACAGTGTGTAAATAGTTCTAATTTTTATTATGTTCATTTATTTTTTTTGCTATGTTTTTTTGTTTTGTTTTTTTTGTTTTGTTTTTTTTTTTATACAAACATTTGATTGGTTTGCTTTTAAAGTATCTAAACAAGCTTAATAATTCATCTAATTGTCCCGTTCACTTCGTCGGCAAGATGGCAACAAACTATGTAAGCACGAAGTAGGTATTTCTCTTGACCTTGATCACCTTGATTATTTTTTACGTTGGAATATGAATTTATGATGATTCTATGATTTGTTGTTGAATTTTTAACTAGTTATAATATTTTTAAAAGGTTAGATAAGTAGTTGGAATGTTACAAGTGGATTGTTTTTGGATTGTTTGGATATTGAAGTGTTTTGGTTTTTTATTTTTATTTTTATGCTTTTAGATTTTAATATGGAACCAAATCGACCTCTTCCCAAGAAAGGAAGAACCTTATTATCTATCTTTACAAAGAACGACAAATTAGATGGTACTCCAACTCCTACGATACCCAATCCTCCAATTGCATCTCCTAAAATTGAACGGTCTTCATCTTTCAATGTTGAGTTAGAACCATCTAATTTTATAGTACGAGACCCAGGAAAAAGAAAGCAAATATATGAATATCCATTTAATGAACGTGATCAGATTAGGCGTGCATATTTAAAGGCTAGGCCTTATCAACTAAAACTTTTGGAGTATTGGAGCAAAGAATGTGGAAAATAGAAATGTCGATTTCAAGAGCATTGGTAGAATCAGTATTCTTGGTTGGAATACTCGCCTTCAACACATAAGACATATTGCTTTTTCTGCTTCTTTTTTCTCAATGAAAGTGTTCCACCTAATATTTCATCATTGGTCTCGGTTAGATTTGATAGTTGGACGAGGGTTGGCCAAGGAAGTAAATGTGCATTTCTTGTTCATATTGGTACAACATTTTCATCATATCATAATGGCCGTAAGAGAAGAGCTGAAGATCTAATGAAACCAACTTAACATATTAATAAGGTAATGCACGCTGTATCAAGTGAGGAAAAACAGAAAAATCGTTTGCGTGTAATGACCACAATTATGAGTGTTTCGTGGCTAGCACTTCAAGGTTGTTCATTTAGAGGCAATGATGAATCTCCATCTTCATTGAATCGTGAGAATTTTCTTTAAATGGTAGATGCATTTGAAAAAATGAATACAAATAATAGGAGAAGTTGTGTTGGGTAATGCTCCAAAAAATGCTACATACACATCTCCAGACATTCAAAAAGAGATTTTGAGCATTATGGCTAATAGAGTAAGACATAGAATCTGTAAAGAAGTTGGGGATGCAATTTTTAGTAGCTTTGTTGATGAAGCACGAGATGCATCTTCACAAGAACAAATGGCCATTATCTTGAGGTTTGTGAACGGTAATGAAATTTTGATAGAACTTTTTTTGCAGTCAAAAGTGTTAGTGACACTACATCATCGAATTTTAAGAATCAAATTTCTGATGTTCTTGTTCGTTTCAACTTTCAAGTGCAAAACATGAGAGGTCAAGGGTATGACGGTGCTAGTAATATGCGTGGTGCTTGGAATGGATTACAAGTATTATTTCTTAGAGATTGTCCATATGCATATTATGTCCATTGTTTTGCCCATCGTTTACAACTCACAATTGGTTGCAGTAACTAGGGATGTCGCAGATATTAATTAATTCTTTTCAGATTTGGACAATGTTATTAATATGATTACATCATCTCCTAAGCGCATCAATGAGTTGAAAAGTTCCCAAAAAAAAAAAAAAGAAATTGAACATTTGTTGGAAATTGGAGAACGAGAGACTGGAAGTGGGGCTAATCAAAATGGTAATTTGCAACGAGCTGAAGGTTCTTGTTGGTCTTCTCATTACAACTTCGTAAAGAGTTTGATTGATATTTATGCTGCAACTTGCAAGGTGCTTGAGTATCTCAGTGATCATTCTCCAAATGTAAGAACTCGGTCTGAAGTGGGTGGTGTATACAAGAAATTGATAACATTTGAATTTGTATTTATTTTGCATTTAATGCACAGAATGTTCGCAATTATAGATGTGCTTTGTCAAGCCCTTCAGAAAAAACTCAGGACATCTTAACTGCTATGAGATTTGTCCATACTACAAAAACTATCATTCAAGAATTGAGAGAAAATGGCTAGGAAGAATTTCTTGAAGAGGTGAATTTTTTTTGCTCAAAAAATGATATACATATACCTGACTTTCATGATTCATACATGGTTGGTCGTTCTCGTGGTCGTGAGTATCCTATCATCGAACATCATTACCACTTTGATATTTTTAATGCAGCCATAGATTTTCTGATGACGGAGTTAGATACAAGATTTAACGAGACATCATTAGAACTCTTTTCTGTCTGGGCGGCATTGGATCCGAAAAATCATTTTGAATCATTTAACATGGATAATATTTGCAAGCTTGTAGAGAAATTTTATCTTCAAGATTTTACACAGCAAGATATTTATAGTTTGAAAGTTGAGTTGCAACATTATCAGCATGATGTGATCCTTGAATCTCAATTTCAAGTATTTACACTTTCTGATTTATGTCAGGAATTGGTTGCGAGCAGAAGATCCGAGAGTTACATCAATTTGACTAAATTGATTCGTCTAGTATTGACACTGTTTGTTTCAACAGCTACTGTGGAGATATTATTTTTTACAATGAAACATGTGAAGATGAAAATTCGTAACAAAACTGATGATGATTTTCTTCCTGATTGTTTGATGCTTTACATTGAACGAGATTTTTCTTTGAATTTAGATTTAAATTCTATTATTGATAGATTTTATGCTATAAGGCATCATCGGATACAACTGTAATTGATAATATTATATTATGACTTTTTTGTTATATATGAATATTATTCATGCATTAAATTTCTAAAATTTTGCCCCCCCGTAACAATAATTCCTGGCTCCATTCTTGACTTAAGCTACTTTTCGTTCACCTATTTTGAGGTATTCACAGGTACTATCCGCATAGTCATCACTCATCTCTACTTATTTATAATTTAAACTGTTGATAAACACTTCTCAAACATGCTTTAAAATCAATACATCATTTTTATCGACCCCATGCAAGCATTCACAAAATGGGGAACAACAAAGATACTTGTACATCCAGAGCTGGACTAGGTTTCGGAATGCTTTCAATATCTTCAACTGGAGTTTCATTGACAAACCTAGTTGCTACCATCAATATATTTGGTATATGAAAATTACATCAAATTTTTATTTTTATTTTTTTTGTGTGTGATATTTGTTTTTGAATTTCCTTTCTATATTAACTAAAATAGAAAAAGAATATTCAAACGTTCATAACATCACCCAAAATTAACCACCTGCTAATCACCAATGCATTTTTATGTTGGAAAAAAAAAAGAGTAAATGGCTCACTTTTGACAAAATTTTCGATGGGACCCATTAGTCCAATTTGGAAAATCAAAGTTGATCTGTGTTCTCCTCCGTGAGATTGTCAAAATCATATATTTACTTGCCAAAATTGATAAATGGATGAATGAGAAATTGGAACTCAAAGCTGACTACTGGAAGATGGTTTATGGGGGAAAAATTGAGTTTGTCCCACACAGGAAAAATATGAAATCAAGAACCACTTTAAATATGGTTGCACATTAGAAGGGTGTAATCATGTGTAGCATAGAGGCTCTCTCCACGTGCGCGTGTAGGGAGGTGCAAATCATGAACCGAAATAGCCTTCGAACCTTGAACTTCTGTACGGGTACGACCTGCGTATATGAATGTCGAACCGAACGGAGCAAAAATTGGCCTGCTTGGAGTGTCCACGTTTTGCAATTTTTTATTTTCTCCAACTGACTTTTTGAGTTTTCGAAAACTGCCAAAACTTCTAGAAATTGAAGTAACTCCAGTGCTTATTGCTATGGAGTTAATATGTAGATTCAAACTTGTATTAAAGACATTTTTCCAGTAGTTCCAGCACATACGAAAGAGGCTCTGTCAGAAAACAAACGAAATTACACTGTTCGGTCGTTTGTATATTATTTTGTTTGCATATACAATTTTCGTTTGGGTGGTTATATTGTTCAAACGCTAGATCAGTTTACAAGAGTAGTATCTCTGATACTCAGATTTTATGGGTTTTACCATTATACCATGGGAAACAGACTTTTGGATTAGACCTCAAGCACTAACGGTGAGGGACGAATATGTTTTAAGGAAACTGTGTTCATGCAGGTCTCGAATTGAAAATTCATCTGCTATTTATTTATTTTTCAATTACACCATTGCAATTTATTCTTGCAGATTTATGTATTTAGCGATTTACGCGTTTACAATTTACTTGATTCATATACTTTGCAGTTTACTTGTTCGTTATATTTATGTTAGAAATGAAAATCGAAAAAGAAAGAAAAATCTGAATTTTCTTGCTAGCAGTTGGTAAATGCAATTCAGTGTATGTAATTTACATATACAATATTTCTATGTGTAAATAAAAATACGGTATATATGAAAAAGGTAAAGAAAATATGTACAAATACGGTCAAATGCATATACAATAGGCATCATATATGGTATGTTGCAAATACGGTAAGTTGCCTGCAAATATGGTAGACTGCAAATACGGTAAATAGCATATATGGTAAGCTACCTGCAAAGACGATAAGCTATAAATACGGTAAGCTACCTGCTAATATGGTAAGCTGCATATATGGTAAGCTACCTGCAAATACGGTAAGCTGCATATATGGTGTATTGCATATACGGTATGCTTAAATCTGGTATCTAAAATACATATACGTTATGCGCTAATCTAGTTTCCTCCTGTAACTTCCAACAAACTTAAAACAGACTCCTAAGAAAAAATTTATTTCTTATATTGTTAATTTTTAGTAACTAATTTTTTTGTTTGATTTTCAGAAATGGCAACCGAATCGATCGGATGTGACCCAAACTGTGCCTATTGGAAATCAGGTTGTGGGCTCCGCTCTGGTTTAAGGGCCAAAATCTGTTACGCTTAGACTGTGACTAAATTGTCAAATCGTGTAGTGAGTCAAACTGTGGCTTCAACAACTGGCCATTCTGTTAATGTTCTGGTTATTCATGGAGAAAAATCAAAGACATTCAATGGCTTGAATTTCAAAAGGTGGCAGCAGAAAATGTTTTTTTACCTGACCACTTTGGATTTTGTGAGATTCTTGACTGAGACTGCTCCAAAACTCAATGAGGGTGAGGGAGATGTTCAAACAATTAATGCACTTGATGCTTGGAACCATTCGGATTTTCTGTGCTGAAACTATAATATGAATAGCTTAGCAAACACGTTATACAATATGTATAATACTATGAAAACTGCTATGGAGTTGTGGGAGTCGTTGGACTGAAATATAAAATTGAGGATGTCGGGGCTAAAATGTTTATTATCGACAGATTCTTATACTATAAAATGGTGAACTCCAAAATAGTTATCAGTCAAGTGTAAGAATTCCAAGTGATTCTTTACGAAATTCATGCCGAATCGATGATTTTGAGTGAAACTTTTCAAGTGCCTACAATTATTGAAAAATTGCCCCCCGCGTGGAAAGATTTCAAGAATTATTTGAAACACAAACGAAAGGAAATGAACGTTAAAGAACTAATTGTTAGATTTCGATTTGAAAAAGACAACAAGAGTTCTGAAAAGAAGTGGTTCAATCCTGGTATGACTAAAGCCAATGTTGTGGAGCATGATTAAAGTAGTAAGATTTACAAAAATAAGTTTGGGCCATCCAGTGGTAAAAGGACCAAGCAAGGACCGAAAGATGGAATTTCTAAGAAGAAATTTCAAGAGAAATATTTCAATGGTGACAAAGTGGGCCACAAGTCTTAGGAGTGCAAGTTGTCAAAGAAAAAGAAAGAAGCAAATGTGGTTGACTACATGGCACAAGATGTGTCAGAGCTGAATTCGTCGGTCGTCTTTTTTGAAGTGAACATGGTGGGTTCAAACCCTAAAAATTGGTGGATTGACAACGGTGCTACTAGGCATGTCTGCTCTGATAAGGAGTTGTTTGCTACATTCGAAGCATTGAGAATAGAGAGAAGTTATTTATGAGAAATTCAGCAACTTCTGAAATCAAAGGTTAAGGAAAGGTGGTTCTGAAGATGACCTCGGATAAGGAGCTGATTCTCAACAATATGCTATATGTGCTGGAAATTCGAAAGAACCTAGTGTTCGGGTCACTTTTGAATAAGCATGGTTTCTGTATTGTGTTTGAGTCAAATAAAGTTATTTTGTCAAAAAGTGGGATGTTTGTCGAAAAATGTTATGTTTAAACTCAATGTAATGGTTGTTAAACAAAAAATGAATAAAGAAACTCTTTTGCTTACTTGCTTGAATCTTCCAATTTGTGGCATGGTAGACTGGGATATGTTAACTAACAGACTTTATGAAGACCAGTTAACTTGAATTGCATACCCGAGTTTCATATTTATTCCAAACATAAGTGTGAAACTTGTGTTGAGATAAAATTGACAAGGTCATCGTTTAAATCAATTGAACGGAACACAGAACCACTTGATTTAATTAACAGCAACGTATGTGATTTAAAACTTATACAAACAAGAGCTGGGAACAATTATTTTATTACTTTTGTTGACGATAGCACCAAATACTGTTATGTGTATTTGCTAAAAAGTAAAGATGAAGCTATAGAGAAATTTGTTCTCTATAAGAATGAAGTTGAAACTCAACTTAATAGGAAAATTAAGGTGTTAAGAAATGATCGAGGTAGTGAGTATGAAGCACCATTTGCTGAATTCTGTGCCCAATACGAAATCATATATGAAACCATCGCACCTTATTCATTGCAACAAGATGGTGTTGCTGAACGAAAAGATGGTACTTTAAAAGAAATGATGAATGCAATGCTAGTAAGTTCTGAGTTACCTCAGAACATGTGGGGAGAAGATGTGTTATCAGCAAATTATCTTTTAAATAAGGTGTCCCGAAAGAAAATGGAAAAAACCCCTTATGAGTTATGGAATGGAAGAAAATCTTTCTATAAATACTTATAAGTGTGGGGTGTCGTGCTAAAGTGGTCGTTCCTACACCAAAGAAGGTAAGGATAGGACCAAAAACAGTAGATTGCATTTTCATTGGCTATGCACACAATAGTAGTGCTTAT